AGCCCGAAGAAGTGGGCCACCGTTCAGCAGATGAGCTCACTGAAGCTCAGAGAGCGTGAATGGTTCCAGGATTAAGAAACACCGGCCTGGGAACCAGACCACCCTGGGTCCAAAACTCTGGCTCTGCCATTTCTATTCCTTCAACAAATATTTACTGGGCACTTAGCTGTGTGAGCTCCCACAAGTGACTTCACCTCTCAGCGCCTCCATTTACTTCCTCTTTGTAAGAGTCTTAACACCACTCATCAAATCCATCCTCTCTGTCCTCTGACAATGCCAGACACTTGCTTTCCCAGGCTTCTCTGTGGCTATAGCCTGAGCATGTGACCTGCTTCTGGCCAATGGGATTTAAGGAGGCTTTTGGGAAAGGCTGATCTCTCAAGGAAAAACGGGGCACACAGGATGAAACGCCCCACTGAATTGGTTGGATATGATGTGCCAACATTTGAAGGCTGGAACTGGGTAGCCATTTTGGGATATGAGGCATCAAGCTGGAGGACCAAGCCACTTGCAGGAGTTGGAGGAGCCGAAAGATGAAAAGAACCTAGAATCCTGATGGCACCATGGAGCCATTTCTCCGAAACCAGCTCCTTTGAAACTTGCTGTTATGTGACATGAGGCATCTTCCTCCTTCTAGAAGCCACTTCGAGTTTTCTATACTGTTACTTGCAGCCCAAGCAGTCAGACCAGGGGTCCTCAAACTTTTTAAACAAGGGGCCAGTTCACTGTCCCTCAGACCGTTGGAGGGCCGGACTATAGTTTTAAAAAAAACTATGAACAAATTCCTATGCACACTGCACATATCTTATTTTGAAGTAAAAAAACAAAACGGGAACAAATACAATATTTGTATTTGCATGTGGCCCGCGGGCCGTAGTTTGAGGACCCCTGAGTCAGACTATCTGGGTTGTCGAAGGGATTTCAACGAGCGAGTGGATGTAAAGTTCCACTAGTCAGAGCCTGGCACAATAAACAGCAGCTACTCTGGAAATGAAGGAATCACCGTAGGGCTCGATCCCTGAGACTGTTCCAGGGAACACAGACACTGCGGATGAGTTCCCGCTCTCTCCTGCTGAGAGCAGCCTGTGGAGTTTTCCGAGAAAGCAGAAACCCAGTGGTGGCCCCGCACCGAAACCCTGTCACTTTGTTGGGGCTGACCCCACTTCTAAACAAGAATCAATCACACTGCCTTTTGCCTAATGGATTTTGATTTTCACTCCCCTGACAGCGAAGGCTAAGGCCTGTGCTTTGGTTGGTCTCCGCGTTGCCAGAACATCCCATCAATTATTAACAGCGCCAGCTCAGCCTCCCAGTACTGCTATCAGAAGGAAAGGGTTTGCCACAGCTCAGCCCACTCAACCATGGAGAAAGGTCCCACCTTCTATGTGCTAGGTACTGTGAGAAAGTGTGGCAAACACGACTTCCATGATGACCCTGTAAGGTGGGCCTTTTATCTCCATTTTACAGGCGGGAGGCTGGGGTTTGGAGAGCTGAGGAACTTGCCAGAGGCCAGAAACTGGGGAGGGTGCTGGAGTGGGCCTGGACCCCTGTCTGTTCTTTTTTTTTTTTTTTTTTAATATATTTTATTGATTTTTTACAGAGAGGAAGCGAGAGGGATAGAGAGTTAGAAACATTGATGAAAGAGAAACATCAGCTGCCTCCCGCACACCTCCAACCGGGGATGTGCTCGCAACCAAGGTACATGCCCTTGACCAGAATCGAACCTGGGACCCCTCAGTCCGCAGGCTGATGCTCTATCCACTGAGCCAAACCAGCTAGGGCCCCTGTCTGTTCTTGCTCTTAAACATTGGGGTAGGGCCATTTCTGAATCTCAGAGGGTAAAAAGGAGGACTGCCCAGACATGCTCCTCCATTTTACCCTCTCCTTCTGTGGCTTCTGAGAAGTTTCCACAGGCCTTGCTGTCGGACAAGCCAGGCATCCAAATTGGGGGGATGAATGGGAGTGAGGGGAGCACAGGGAACTGGGTTGTAGGTGGGCAGTGAGGGAGGAATGACAGATCCCCAAACCCTGAGACACAGTGACTGACTGATTGCTTGATTCATTCATTTATTCTGCATTTAGTTATTTGAGTTCCTCTGTGCCAGGCACCATGATGGGTGCTGGGAGCAGGGCAGTAAACACAACTCATGGCGTTTACTCTCTTGTGTGGGAGACACAGAGAAACAAAAGGAAGCAGATACCATTTCAGATGGTGCTTGAAGCCTATGCAGGAAAGACACTGAATGATATGACAGAGAATGAGGGGAAGGAGGCTGTTTAAAACAGGGCTCAGGAAAAGCCTCTCTGAGGAGACATTTGGGCAGGGCCTGCTTAAATGAGGCATGAGGAGAAGTGGCTGGCCATGAGACAATCCGAGAAAGAGCAATCCAGGCAGCAGGAACAGCAAGTGCAAAGGTCCTGAGGTAGAATAAAGCCTGACTGGGTTAGGGAACAGCAAGGAGTCCAGCAGGGCCGGAGCAAGTGAACTAAAGGAGAATAGAAGGAATGGCTCCGAGAGGTCATGGGCCTGCATTCAGGAGTGTCTGGTATGTCGTGGTGAAGGTTTGGATTTAATTCTGAGTGTGAGGGGAAACCTCTGGAGGATTTTGAGCAGATGAATAATGTGAGCCCATTTACATTTTGAAAAGCTCACTCTAGCTGCTGTGTGGGCAGTGGATTGCAAGGGCAAAAGTGGAAGCAGGCAGACTGGGGAGGAGGCTACGGCACTTATTCATTATGGAAAGAACCGGGTCTTTACAATCACACTTGAGTTTGAATTTCTGACTACTTCTGTTTGATGTTAGACCAGTTACTTAACCCTCTGAGCCTCCCTGTTTAAGAAAGGTGGGATAATCATAGAGAATTGGCATAAGGACTAACGGTGTTGTTACACTTCTTACACGGTAGGTGTTTGATCAATGACAGGCAGGATTTCTATCCTGAGAGCCAATGAGCTTGCCTGCCTTCCCATTTCAGTTCTGGCCATCCACCTGCCAGGCATGTGTGCCGGCTGAGCCTGGGATCACAGCGAGGTCACAAAGCTATCCCTGTGAGCAGGTTAACCCAACGGGGAGACGAGGCTGTTTATTCCCAAACAGTGTCTTCTGCAAGCCTGAGCTTCCCTGTCTTGCTGTCAGATGCCGACCTAAACACTGCCTTTTACCTGCTTCTTCTCTGTGAGGGTGGCCCTCCCCTCCCCTGCCTCTTACTCTCATGTCTTAGGGACACAGGGAGGAGGGAGAGTCGTGTCTGGGCCTAAACAGGATGTGGAGGGCAGAAACCCATGTCAGGCCTGGAAATAGCAAAATAAGTCTGTTGATCCTAAGCCGGTTAAGGGTGAGTGACTGTCTTAAGAAGGAGGCTTTTTGGACACGAAACCTGGGGCAGGCTTATGACCAGAGGCAGCCTACATCCTCAGAAGAGGAAAGCAGGCCGAGGAATCTCTGTCCTCTTTAGGGTTGACAGGGAAGAGGGAGAACCTACACGCTTCCCTCCACTTCCCTCCCAGCCACACCCTCCTGCAGCCCCTCTCAGAGGTCTCTCCTTGGACAGTCAGATCTGGGCAAAGTACCCCACAGGGCTCCCTTCAGACTTGGCCCTGCAGGTGAGCCTTAGTGGGAGCTGACTGAGCCAGGGGGATTCCATAATGAGAGGCCAGGCTGGATGAAGGGAGCCCTTGCTAATATATCATGGCTGGCATGTAGACTTCCTCCCTTCTTTCCATGAATACATTGACCTACCCCCCCCCTCCCCTTTTGGCCCTGCTCTCAGGTCTCAGATGGTGAGCTATGCTCAACACATCTTTTCCGACTTGGTCTTCTTGGATTTTGGCATTAACACCTCTCTTTTCGGGGCTCCCCCTGGGCCCCAGATGAACTTCATTATAGCACTGAACATACTGTGTTGTCATTTGTTCTGACACCCAGCACATTGGCCACATGAAGACAGGCCCTATCTCTCCAAGACAGCTCTGAATCCCAGCCTGACACAGGGAAGTTGCTCCTGTCCTGGCCTGGCCCCCACCCAAAGCCTCTCTCAGTCCCTCACACCTGGCAGCACACAGGACTGCCTGGCCCACCAGTGCCATCAATTTCATCCCTGCCTCCTTCTTCGGCTTTATTTTTCACACTGCCTCATTTTTCTCTCCTATTTTGAAATGTACATTCTCTTCCAACAGCCAGAGCATCTTTACAAGCTGCATCAAACCATTCGTGGAATAAGCTCACCACATAAATAAAGAGCAAACCAGTGGCGACCTTTTGCCCACAAGCGTCCTCAGCCAACGACATGCGTCACGCACGCACACACCCACCCCTCAGAGTCCCTCTGCCTCATTTTTCTTACTTATGTTAAAACGGCCTGATGGTATCTCAGTGTCCTCCAAGCAAGTCTATAAGCTGCTTTCATTCCCTCCTTGGGGGCAGTGTGGGGTTATAAATACAGGGATAAGTATTAAAATTGCAGGGTGACACCCCCTCCAGCCTGAGTCTGGGACTTCCCGAGGGAGCATTCTGTAGAATGGACCAAACTCAAGCCTGCTCCTCCCCAGCAAGGCTTCACTGCTTCTCTGTGCTCTCTTTCTCGTTTGCAATGTCCATCCTCTTGCTGTGGGCTTTTAGAAATCTCTGCAAGTCCTTTTCTCCAACAAAGTCAGGATATAAAGTATTGAATAATAAAAGGAGGGGGTGCCCTGGCCCCATGTGGCTTGGAGGATAGAGCCGCGGCCCTCCAATGGAAGGGTCCCTCTCTTTCTCTCTCTCCTTCCCTCCCTCTCTCCCTTCCACTCTCTCTACAAATCAATGGAAAAAAATCCTCCAGTGAGGATTAACAACAACAAAGATGGGTGACCAGTACCACACAGGAACAATCTGCAGAGGCTAGCCTCGCTTCCAAGGTCTAGGCTACAGCCCCTTCTTCTTCAGAGTCCCCCAGCCGTGGTCATCAATCTGGGGACACAAGCAGAATCCCCCAGCCCAGCAGCCCCCAGATCCCACGCTTACCTTGGCAGCCACCGAGGAATTGGGCTTCTCCAGCAGGTCCCAGAGCTTCTTCCTCTTCTCCGCACAGCACGTGTTATCGAACTCCTCGCCCTCCCGCTCTCGTAGGGTCTCGGCCTCACGTTTGAGCTCCTCGTTCATCTGCTCCTTCTTCTGGTGGTAGCGAGCCTGGCAGCAGGACTCCAGGTAGATTTCATCGATGCCCCAGTAGTCAAGCTCTTGGCTGAAGCTGAGCGCACACATCTCCTCCATCATGTGCAGCCGCCCCGTGCGGTAAAAGTTGAGGATGGAGGTGAAGGCGCCCGGGTGGCGGTCGAAGAAGTATTCGTTGTCCTCGAGGCTGTAGTCGTCGCACACTTCGAGCAGCGAGTCGTGGGTGTTGCAGTCGCGGAGCTTGCCCAGCCGCGTGCGGGGCAGGCGGTCCAGGGTGCGCCAGAGCACCTCGTGCG